TCTGCTTCAACCCTTCTGGCCTAAAATTTTAACCCCAGATTATTAAAGAATTAATTTAGGCTAATTTTTTTCTTAAAGTAACTTTTTTAAAAGAAAAAAAAATATGTAGACAATCCTAATTTAATTTTATGAATATTTTAACTTAAAAATATTTAGATTATGACAAATACTGAAAAATCACTAACCGACACCATGAAACTCGTTAAACACTATGTAAAAATATGAAGCACATAAAGATTTTTTTTTAAATTACTTTAGCCGTTAGATTTTAATTTGGACCGTTAAATTTTTTTTTACCGTTGAATTTCATCAAATTAGATCTTAACCGTTGGATTCAATAAATTTATAAATATAAAACTAAATAAAATATACATATATTGTGCCCCAGTCCCACCAACCCTGAGCTAAATTTGGCTCTGTTTTAGGTATTGGGTTTTAGGTCCAATTTTAAACTTGGGTTGGGTTGGATTTTTTTTGGGGGGGGGGGGGGGGGGAGGAATAGAAGGGGAAAAATAGGTTATAGGCCAAAGTTGGAGATGATCTTATGATGTTTTGAACATGTTTAAAAATAGAGAAATTGAATCACATTATTGCTAGCCTATTGTGATGTACTAATTATAAATAAAAAATAAAAAATGTACCAAAAAATTAATTATAAAAAAAAAAAACATTGCTAAAATGATGAAAATGCCCTTACCTTATTTGATACATAATTTTGGGATGCCTTTGATGTGACATCCCACATCGCCCAGGGGAGTGATCCTTAAATGTATATTCTCATCCCTACCTAGCACGAGGCCTTTTGGGAGCTCACTGGCTTCGAGTTCCATCGGAACTCCGAAGTTAAGCGAGTAGCGCGCGAGAGCAATCCCATGATGGGTGACCCACTGGGAAGTTCTCGTGTGAGTTCCCAGAAACAAAACCGTGAGGGCGTAATCGGGGCCCAAAGCGGACAATATCGTGCTACGGTGGTGGAATGAGCCCGGGAAGTGGTCCGCCCCGGGCCAGGATGTGACAATTTGGTATCAGAGCCTAACCTTGGCCGCGTGTGTGCCGACGAGGACGTCGGGCCCCTAAGGGGGGTGGATTCTGACATCCCACATCGCCCAGGGGAGTGATCCTTAAATGTATATTCCCATCCCTACCTAGCACGAGGCCTTTTGGGAGCTCACTGGATTCGAGTTCCATCGGAACTCCGAAGTTAAGCGAGTAGCGCGCGAGAGCAATCCCATGATGGGTGATCCGCTGGGAAGTTCTCGTGTGAGTTCCCAGAAACAAAACCGTGAGGGCGCAGTCGGGGCCCAAAGCGGACAATATAGTGCTACGGTGGTGGAATAGGCCCAGGAAGTGGTCCGCCCCGGGCGGGGATGTGACATTTGAAGTTTTTTGTCTTGGAGATATTTTTGTCTAAATATTTTTGTTGAAGCTTGGTGAGACCAAAATCAGTATTCACTTTTCAATTGGCTTTATATATAGATAGATTAATAATCTCCCTGTGGACGTTTCCCTCCCTTATTTTCTCCGCCTTCATCTTTTTCATTTTCTCTGCCTTCTTCATTTTCTTCATTTTCATCTCCTCTATCGCCTTCAACTACCCAACAAAGCAACTACCATTGGAGCAAGTCTGCGCTCTGACGTCGTGGCTTGGCCCATTGCACTACTACCCTACATACGAATCTCTCGCTCTGCAAACCCCATAACCATGCCTCAGTCCTTGCCTATATTGCCCCTTGTATCTGCTCCTCTTGCCCATCCCTCAATCTCGTAGTCGTCGTGTCGGCCATCGATCCAATTCCCCACGTATATGCCATTTACGAGATCAAAAGAGAGATTGGGATGGCCAGTCCCCCTCGTAGCCGTTGTACTATCCTTCTCTTTTATCCGGGCTTGAAACCAACTCCGTAAGATAAACTTACGTAGGCATAGTTCCCCTTAATATTTTGAGTTGAGGATCAAATGAAGGATTCTGAACCCAACAGTTGTTGCGTTACTTTCAATATCAATGCAAATGGGTGAAAGCAAATCGACAAGCCTAGGTCTCCGATAAGCCTATTTGAAATAGAAGACTTGGGGTGAAAGCAAATCGACAAGCCTAGGTCTCCGATAAGCCTATTTGAACTAGAAGACTTGGGGTGAAAGCAAATCGACAACCGCGTTTACCCTACATTTTTGTCCCCACAGAAAAAAAATTGGACTTGACACGAACGAGCACTTTTATTCTATTCACTAATTGTCAATTGTGATAATTCAACTTAAAGACTTTCAAAAAAGCCAAAATTGAATACCATAGCTTTGGAAGACTCTTAGTTGTCCACATAGATATATTCATCTTCTTATATCACTTGTGACTAAGAAAAGGTGATTTATCCAATCATCTGCAAGCATCAATCATCTCTCCACGACTTAGAGAAATTCTTGTATTCAACAGTCATACTTGAATTGGTCCAAATTATACCTAAATACATTAAAACTTATTTCTTTGTAAGTAAGTCAAATAGTTCATATTATTTTGATGTCAGACACAAGTATTTCTTAAGTACTCGACATAGACACTTGTGGATTAGTAAATTCCTTTGGTTGAATTTAAATTTTCAGAAGATATATGTCAATGGAGTACACATTTTAGGTACAAATGGATCTCATGGCCCAAATAAACAACTCAAAGTCTTGATATATGACTCTTAGGCCTAGTCAAAGGATCTTATTCCGTATATTGTCCGGCCCGCCCTATGTCCCATTTCTCATGTCTTCTAGTGAGTGGAGTTGCACCATAACTTCCATGTCAACTATGCCTTTCTTTTCTTAGAGGCAATGCCGGCCATGCTTTCTTATTTTTTGTTTGCCTAAAACTTAAGACTTTCTTTATTCTTTGCTCCTCACACGTTTCAATCAAATTTGACAATTGTAATAGTTAGGGCATTCCTCTCTTCATTACGTCAGATGTCAATGCCAAGTTCAATATTTTCTAGCAACACTCACATTCACCACTTATTTGTAGGAGTGGCTAACCTGATTGAAGCGGTAGCCATGAAAATCAAACATGAGAGGATGAAGGCCGAAGCAATACCAAAGGTTTCTACTGAGCATCTAGCCGGTACAACTACTTAATGAGAAGTTCATGTTGTTTTTCTAGAGTTTGTAGAGACCTTAGTATTTATATTGGCTAAGGCACTACGGTTCCATCCATAAGAGAATCTCAAATCGCACTTTCTTAACCTACCAGTTAGGTATTGTAATTACATGTTTATCAAGGATTCAATCAATCTTATTTAGATTCCAAAACACACATTCATAAGGCTGATATAAAGGGGTCAAAGAACAATCTTAGTATTAATGTCTACTATTTCATTTTATTGAATAGTAGACCACTTAAAGGTTGATTAGTGTTGGATTTTGCTTTTGAACAAACGACATTAAAGGTGTAGGGGAGTGGGCTAAGCCTCACAAAAATCCAATAGATAAGAGTTCGTCTCTAATGATTGAGGACTACTCAGGAATAGACTTAGAGAAGTTATATATGTATTTACAACAAGAGTTCAATTATAATCATTGAAAACTATCAATGGACGATTGAGAACAAGTACTTAAATATATCACTTATCTTTGTATTTACGATAAGGGGTCGACTTTAATGTCAAGAACTATTTAGGAATAGACATCCAATGGAAAACTAAAGAGGGTATGCAAGAGTGAGTTTGTGTGTTTGGTGCATAGGTAGTTCTTAGTTCTTTTTATTTAAGTTTGATTAGGCAAGCCCTAAACTATATATGGTGGTTGATTCTTGTATGGAAAGATAATAACAAACCAACTATTTGGTTTTTTTTTTTAAACTTTCCAGCTAATGAATTGAGATTCTACTCGTTCCCCATAAAGTTAATCAAAGCACTATAAAAATTGTAATGATAAAATGTGGTTGGTATTATTTACCAAAAAAGAAAAATTGTGGTTGGCATGCAATTTGGTTCAAACTGACAAATGATTCCATGGTGGTTAGGGATTTTAAAGTATATATAGTTAGTGCCATTCCATCATTGTTTATGGGAATTCAACATTTTACATGCCCAATAATTACACTTCAATTTGTTTTCTCTTTACCACCATCAAATACTTTTTGTTTCATTTATAGAACCCTTGGGTTGACTCAAATTCCAAATTATACATCAAGCATTGTGCACCAACAAATGTGGTGCTAAACCCTCTAACAATTTTTGTGAAATGCCAAAGTGGGTCATTAGATGTTCCCACTTTTTTTTAATTAAGGAAATTCTTAGTTAACGCGTTTATTAAAATATGAGTATTAGAATCGTTTCAATTTTTTGCTTCTCGTATGTTTCTTTACATATACATAATCGAAAAAAAAGTGTGGGTTCTACATTGAAATCTGTAATCTGTTACCAGAAAAACAAGTCTAGGTCAGTTGGAGTAGAGTAGTTGATCCCATCTCCATTCTTTTTTCTCGTTCTGGATTCATAATTTCCCTCTTTCTAAGAAAGTAAACATGTCATTAGAGGAACAAGTTCACAAGGATAATAATGATAAAACCTCTAATGCTACTTACCAGAAGATGAATATGCAAAATATGAGTATCATTTTGAGTTGAAATTTCATGCACTTACAAATACACAAAGAATGAAAACGTAAGTGCATCCCATATTGAAATTAGTTATGTAATGATCATTTTCAGCCCATGTATCATACCAAGAGGGGAATACATTCCACATTATAATAAACGGGGAAGGGATTTAGACTAGGATACAAAAAAAACGAGCACATTACGCCGATTAACTGACCTAACTCATATTTGCCATAACTTTACAACATCTTGCTTTGAGATGAATTGTTCTGAACCGTTATGTTTGGATTAATTAATTGCTCTAAACTGTTAAGAAGTCAGAAACAAATGGGGACAAAGAGAGTCATTATTATGGCCATAGATTAACAATTTAAAAAGTCAAAGGAGACCCTTTCTGAGACATTCCCCCCCACCCCCAAACTCCCAAAAATCTCAAATAAAATCCCCTCCCCCACCCACCACCATTTCCCAATCTCCACTAAACAAAATCATCAAGCCACTCCCTCATTCTTGGCCTTTCTCAACGTCCACCACCTTCAATCTCCACCCACCTCTCTCTCTCTCTCCTCTCCTCTCCTCTCTTTTTCTCTCAAAAATCAAAAAACCAAACCAAAATGCTAGGAAAAAAGATGGTGAGTTTCAAAAAGCTAGCAAAGAAAGTGAAGGTTATGGGAGGAGCTGAGAGGGAGCCATCATACCATGAGTGTCTACTGATCAGAGATTCAGAGCAAGGAGGCTCTCCGTCGTCGAAAACCCCGATCGGGTTTCTGGCCTTGTATGTAGGGGAGGAGCTCCAGAGGTTTGTGGTGCCAACAAGCTCCCTTTCTCATCCACTCTTCAAGATGTTGCTGGAGAAGGCTTACAATGAGTACGGCTTTCAGCAGAGAAATGGCCTTGTGGTGCCCTGCAGCGTCTCAGCTTTTGAAGAGGTTTTGAATGCTGTGGAATGCAGCAATGGCAAGTTTGATTTTGGTGAACTAGTTGAGGAGTTTATTTCCTGAGTCAACAGATATATTTTCTTTTTGTACAAGCAACAGAGAGAGAGAGATGAATCGAAAATCTGGACCTCAAGTGTTAGTCACATAGGGTGACCGGCAAGGCCGAGTCAGAAAGGCTTTTTATGCAGAAGATGAATGCTCTTAACCAAACTGAGCTACGACCCCTCAAGTAGAATGTTGTGTTTAGATGTTTTAGATTTAGCTTAGTGATTATGGGTTTATAATTCCATGTACTAGAACTTGTTCATATTTCATATTAAAATATTGCTCAGCTCTTCAAAAAAGGTCAAGCTACTTTTGGTCAATTTGGTTCTCTAGATTCCAATATTCCCTTGTAGTACAATTAAATTGAAATTTTCACTTCAACTTCTGCAATTTGACCTTTAAATAGTAGTCTCCACGGGACAAGGCAATTGACGTGGCAAACCTAATTTTCTTTCCACATCATTCCATTGGATGAAGGTAGCGTTGAAGCGCATCTTCAATGGAGATGTCAAAAGATAAATGTTAAATGTTAATTTGATGGCTGACATGACAATGTCAGATTTTCTCTTTTTCTAACCGATATGTTTTTTTGTTATAAATTATATTTTTCAGATCTATTTAAAAAGAAATCAATTAAAATGAATTTTCAAGATATATAATTAGTGCATTAATGGGATCCACACAATAAAATAAGGGGTGTGCTATTCACACATCCCTTTTTACTTTTCTCATTCCCCTTGTTAATTTATGTCTTTTGATCTTTTTTAATTCATCCGATCCGACGGCCGAAAATTAAAAATGTGTGAGATAAGTAAAAAGGAGTGTGTGGATATCACACTCCTAAAATAATTAAAAATGATATGGCATCACCTTTTGTCATATGTCAAATTTGACATACGAAAACTTATATGTCAATCCACATAGAATTGACATATGGGTTGGAGTTTTCTCCTACCTTCAAATTTGATTACATGACATTTCACTTAGAATTTGACATCTTCTTTGGAGATGGTCTAAGGCAATTTGCCTCAACGGCTTTGGCGACAAGGCAACATTGCTTTGTTGAAAAGGTGAAGACAAATTAGGCCCCAATTTGTTATTTTATTTAGAACATGATTTATATGTATATCATAAAGTGATGTTTTCTACGTATTTGCTCAAAGGAAATGATTTTCACGCTTTCATTTCATCCTCTTGCGTTCTTCGCTTATTTTTGTGCATTGATTTATCGTTGATTTATTCAATCATGTGGCTAAGTAAGAACAAAAATGTAAGAAATAGAAAGGAGTTGTGAAAATAATTTCCTTTTGCTTCATTAGTTGTCTCATCGCTTAGAGTGACAAATTTGTCATGAAGTTAGTAGATAGTGAAGGCGAAACTTCACATAGATCATCAAAGTACATGTACCTCAAAACTTTACCTTGTCCCTTCGAGATGCACTAAGATCACTTGGGCCTTGGGCCTCGTTTGGTATGTAAGATTGAATTAGAATGGATAACTCTCTAATTCAAAGACATGTTGAGGGGAGAAATGAGCAAATTATGTCCAATTTGAGGGTAAAAGATTGATTACTCATGAAGGAGACTTATCTATTCCAATCCTTTTCAAAATGGTAGGATTATAAAAGATGAATTTCTTCATGTCGAATTATCTTCTAATTTCCTCTTGATGAAAAATCATTCACTTATACCTTCATTATGCCTTGAAATTAGAGAAGTATCTATTATATCATATCTCGGCCCGGGCCCCCACCACATCCCGGGCTCGACTCCACCGTAACACGATATTGTTCGCTTTGGGCCCTGACCACGCCCTTATGGTTTTGTTTCTGGGAACTCACACGAGAACTTCCCAATGGGTCACCCATCTTGGGAATGCTCTCACGCGAACTCGCTTAACTTTGGAGTTCCGATGGAACCCGAAGCCAGTAAGCTCCCAAAAGGCCTCGTGCTAGGTAGAGATGGGAATATACATATAAGGCTTACAAGATCCACTCATCTAGGCAATGTGGGATGTAACAATCCACCCCCTTAGGGGTTCAACGTCCTCGTCGGCACACATCCGGCCAAGGATTGGCTCTGATACCAAATTGTCACATATTAACCCGGGTCCTCACCATATCCTGGGCCCGACTCCACCGTAGCACAATATTGTCCGCTTTTGGCCCCGACCATGCTCTCACGGTTTTGTTTCTGGGACTCACACGAGAGCTTCCTAGTGGGTCACCCATCCTGGGAACGTTCTCGTGTGAGTTCCTAGAAACAAAACCCATGGGAATGTTCTCGTGTGAGTTCCCAGAAACAAAATCACCAGGGCGTGGTCGGGGCCCAAAGCGAACAATATCGTGTTGCGGTGGAGTCGGACCTGGGATGTGGTGGGGGCCTGAGCCAAGATGTGACAATTTGGTATCAGAACCAATCCCTGGCTGGATGTGTGCCGACGAGGAAGTTGGGCCCCTAAATGGTAGATTGTTACATCCCACATCACCCAGATGAGTGGATCATGTAAGCCTTATATGTATATTCACATCTCTACCTAGCACGAGGCCTTTCTAGGAACTCACACGAGAACTTCCCAGTGGGTCACCCATCATGGGAATGCTCTCGCGCGAACTTGCTTAACTTCGGAGTTCCGATAGAACCCTCTATTAATTGGACCCTTTATGTGTTTAGGGGCAATTAATTGTGACGTTTCCATCCTCGCTAGTTGCGTGGCTCTTCAACAACTAAGTATTGTGAATGGACCCCTTCTAAAAATGCATGTTTTAATAGTAGAAATGCATACATGAAAAGCATGATTTGATGATTACGTTTTATGAAACGTTTTGTGAGATAACATGCTTACTGAGGCTATTTTGAATTATTACTATTTTTCCTATAACCCGTGTTCTTATAGAATATCTGATGGATGACAATATGATATTTAGAACATGTTTAGAACACCTCTTTATAATATAGATGATGGATGACTTTATACTATGAAGTTGTTTTTTAGTATATATGTTCAATGGTTTTGTACTTACTTAGTGGTCCCTATTCTGCTATGGGACAAAGGGATAGATTCTGGTCCGTCCTGGGCGACGATTTGGTGTTGGCATAAGACATGAAGTGTGTTTCCTCTGGCTATTTAGCACAGGGACGGGGAGCCGGCATGAGGCTTAGATTGTATTTTCCTCTGACTGTCTGCTCAGAGACGGGGAGCTGGCATGGGGCTTGGAGGTTATCGGACATTCACCAGTGATTATTACATATACAAGTTATGATTTGAGACATTACACGTCATGCTAGGTTTCCGAAAAAACCTATGTTTATCATGATATATGTGTTTTCATAACAAACATAAGTGGACCAAGTTGATATATGTGTGTAATATATATATACACATATATCAACTTGGTCCACTTATGTTTGTTATGTGCCCCTTCAAGACTTAGAATCGAGGCATACAATCCCGGCATCCATGCACTTCCGCATCGACATCTTCGAGTTCTCTCGGTGTAGGACCCACTCCTTTGTTAATTCAATTTTTATATTAATTCTTTTAGTGTTATATATTAGATGTGTGCTCTGAACACGTTCCTTAAATATATATTCTCGATTCTTTTATATTTATAAGTCTTATCCATCATTTATTCTTAGCATTTGTACTCAATAAATAGCTTTCGTCACCCTCGGGTGTCGGCTAGCACGTGTCTATCTTGGTATTCGAGGAATATCGAGATCTGGGCGTGTCTGATTGTTACAGAATTGTTATTCTTGGGACTCTAACCAAAGGCACATATGTTCTCGGAGTACGTGACGTTCGTATGCTTAGGTGAGACCCATTCTCATTTTTCAGTTTTGGTTTTCAGAATAAGTATTTTAACTTACTTTACTTTATTTATTTATTTTTGTCGTTACAAATATTTTGGGGGAAGTATTGCCATTTTCAGTTTTTAAGTTCAACTCAAATTTTCGACCTATATGTTATTACTTATCTATTTTGGTGTTATCGTATTTTGCGTACGTACTTTTGACCCTACGTCAATATATGTTTTCAGCTTTATATCTTTATAAGTATGTTTCTACTTTTACACTGATGGGGAATAAAGTAAGAGCTTCGAGGCATGATAGAGGATTTTGCAACCCGCTCGCGACGTTGTGGCATATTCTCTTTGATGCACCCACTCTGACTTGATTTCTCCTTATACATGTATTCTTCTTCCTATTTTCGAGTATTTCAGTTTTGTAGGTGATTTTAAATTTCGGGGACGAAATTTTTTATTTAAGGGGAGTAGATTGTTACACCCCACCCCCAATTTTAAATGATTTTTGGTGTTAAATTGTGTGCCCAAGGGGCCCACCCCTATTTTGGTTGTCCCCGACCCCCTTTCCTAGTCTGCCACGTGGCAGTTCCTCCCACTGCCATTTCTTCTATTTTCTCTCTCGCAGTTCTCTCTTCCTTCTCTCCCTGAAACTCTCTCGATCTCTATCTCTGTCTCTCTCTTATCCCTCTCTATATCTCTTTGCAACTCCCTCTCCAAGGCTAAGAATCCAAGACCCTCATTCCTCTCGTCCCTGTCAACACTACAAATGTGCGTATATGGTGGAACACCAGTGATTTAACTTGGAATCCAACAAACCCGAGGTGAGTCGATGTGTTTCGAGTTGCATCCTTGTTCTAGTGAGTTATTTCGAGTTGTTTAAGTGACTTTAGAGATGAAAATTGAGGGTTTTTAACCCTGTGCATGCATGTTCTTCTTTCCTCAGTTTTCCGGCGAGCACCGCCCCTTTCGAGGCAATTTTCGGTCAAACCACGACGCTTTGGTTATCGTGCAAGGTATCAATCTCTTCGTCTCGCTGAGTACTACAACTTTCCTTTTTGGATCACCCAGTTTCGTTGAGTATTGAATAAGTTATATCCATTTGAATCTTACCCAGTTTTTGGCGACCTTTAAGACTTTCGAGGTGTTTTCCGGCCAAACCATGGTGCGTTAGATGTTGTGTGAGATACCACTCTCTTTGTCTATTTGAGAACTATGATTTTCATTTTTGAATCACTCGATTTCGTTGAGTATTGACAAAGTTATTAACGTTTAAAGTTTGTTCAGTTTCCGACCGAAATCCGGCCTTCTTCTTCTTGAGGTCCGACGACCCACCAAACCCAGGCCCTTCGGGTCGTTCTTGCCAAGCCCAAAACCCTGGGCAGCCCAACCTAACCCTTTTATTTCTAATTATTTTGTTAGTTTAAAGGTTTTTGGGTCGGATCACTAAGCCCAAACCCATTTCTTTTTAGTTTTGTTTTATTTTTATTCCTATTTAATTCTAAAGGCCCTTGGGCCATTTCAGTTGGGGCCCTAAGCCCAAATCCCAAAACCCTTAAAACCCTAAGCCCTTTTTCCCCTAAACCCAACCCAAATCCTTTTATTTTTATTTATATTATTTGTTTGAAACTAAACTCATACTCTTAAAGCCCAATCCTTTTTAAAAGCTAAATCCAAACATTTTTTAACCTAGGGCCTTAAGCACTAAACCCTTTAGCCTTTCAAACCCTAAACCCTTACCGGCCCAAACCCTTTATGTGGAATATTTCGTCAGGGAATATTCTTTGAAATATTCTATGGACTTTTACGAAATTTAACCGGGATCTTTCTTAGGGTAATTCGACGTCCTGAATTTGTTTCCAACGTCTATTTTCCCAAATTCAATTGCTATAATAGAGTTTTATTAATTGGACCCTTTATGTGCTTAGGGGCAATTAATTGTGGCGTTTCAGTCTTCACTAATTGCGTGGCTCTTCGTAGCTAAGTACTATGAGTGGACCTCTTCTAAAAATGTATGTTTGATAGTAGAAATGCATACATGAAAAGTTTGATTTAATGATTATGTTCTATGAAACGCTTTGAGGTAACATGCTTATTGAGGCTAGTTTGAATTATTACTATTTTTCATATAACTCGTGTTCTTATAGAATACCCGATGGATGACGATATGATATTTAGAACATGTTTCGAACACCTCTTTATAGATAGATGATTGATGACTTTATACTATGAAGTTGTTTTTCAATATATATGTGTGTGTGTGTGTGTGTGTGTGTGTGTGTGTGTGTGTGTGTGTTCAATGGTTTTGTACTTACCTAGTGGTCCTTTCCGCTACGGGAGGTAGGGATATATTATGGTCCGTCCCGGGCGACAATTCTGGTCCGGCCTGAAGTGTGTTTCCTCTGGCTATTTAGCATAGGAATGGGGAGCCGACATGGGGCCTGAAGTGTATTTTCCTCTAATTGTCTGCTCAGATACGGAGAGCCGGCATGGGGCCTGGGGGTTATCGGACATTCACTAATGATTATTATATTATGATTTGAGACATTGCATGACATGCTAGGTTTCGGAAAACCTATTTTGATCATGTTATATGTGTTTTCATAAAACATGGAGGTTAGTACATTGATAACTGTTTTATTATATAGGGTAAATTACATTTTCATACATCAAGTTTGGGCTCTATTTCAATTATTTACAACATCTTTCAAACATTTCACTTTCATACCTTAAGTATTATTTTATTTCAAAATAATATCTCCGTTACATTTTCCATCCATTGATCTGTTAAGTGCTGATGTGGCTACCACATATATGCCATGTGGTTGTCAAATGTCTACCACGTGGCAAATATATATATATATATATTTTTTTTTTTTTTGAAAACCTGAATTTTCTCAAAAAAAAAAAAAAAAAAAAGGCAGTAGCCCAAACCCAGTTCGTCACCCCCTGCAACAAGAAGAAGAAGGAGGAAGATAAGAAATAAATAAAAAAAAAAGTGGCAGCCCAGATTCGTCGCCCCCCCCCTCACTCCCTAAAACCTGTAAGAAGAAGAAGAAGGAGGAGGAAAAGAAAAAAGAAAAAAAAAGTAGCAGCCCATATTCGTCCCCCCCCCCCACCCCCCAAAAAAAAAACTCCCTAAAACCTGTAAGAAGAAGAAGAAGAAGGAAGAAAAGAAAGAAAAAGTAGCAGCCCAATCCCAGTTCGCACCCCCTCCCGCTACCCACCTGCCTTCCCTCTCGCCCCCCCCCCACCCCCGCGATCGCAAACCCAGACCATGAACTTCATATTTTTGGGATTTTTCGGTGTGGGTGAATTTCGAAAATACTTTGAGATGAGGAGTTTGAGTTTGAGATGATTTTTGGACTGGTTTTGTGGTAGATCCACCTAATCTCGGGTGGGATTTTTGGGGTGGGTGATGATGGATGGGAGAAGGGGGTGGGTCGGGGAAGATGATTTCTGGGTTTTTTGTTTTTTTGTTTTCCTCTTCTTCTTCTAGGTTGCAGGTTTTTGGAGGTGGGGGAGAATTGGGTTTGGGGTTTTTTTTTCCCTCCTCCTCCTCCTTCTTCTTGTTGTTGTTGTTGTTGCAGGTTTAGGGATGTGGGGGGGGGGGGTGGTTGCGGGGAGATGAGATGGATTTCAATTTTTTTTTTTTTTGAGAAAATTCAGGTTTAAAAAAAAAAAATTGCCACGTGGCAGACATTTGGCAGCCACGTGGCATATATATGGCAGCTATGTCAGTACTTAACAGATCAATGAATGAAAAATGTAACGGATGTATTATTTGAAATAAAATAACACTTAAGGTATGAAAGTGAAATGCTTTAAAAATGTTGTAAAGAATTGAAATAGAGCCCAAACTTGATGTATGAAAATGTAATTTACCCTATTATATATATATATATATATATATATATATATATATATATATATCAACTTGGTCCACTCATGTTTGTTTTGCGCCCCCTTCAGGACTTAGAATTGAGGCATACAATTCCGGCGTTCAGGCACTTCCACATCGGCATCTTCAAGTCCTCTTGGTGTAGGACCCATTCCTTTGTGAATTCAATTTTTATATTAATTCTTTTAGTGTTATATATTAAATGTGTGTTCTAAACATGTTCCTTAAATGTATATTATTGATTCTTTTATATTTATAAGTCTTATCCATCCTTTATTCTCAGCATTTGCACTCAATAAATGACTTTCGTCACCTTCAGATATCGGCCATCACCCTTATCCTGATATTTGAGGAATATCAGGACCGGAGCGTGTCATATTACAATCCAACCGAACAAACCAAATCAGTCCTTAATAAGGCTGGGATGAAATACAAGTCATGCAGAAGAAAAAAAAAGAAGATTATTGATATTCCATGTTATACGGAATCCAATGCATAATTGACTGCGGATTTTCTACCATATTGAATATAGAGGCCACGTTTAAACGCAGAAGGAAGTTGTAGTACTTTGTGGGGAACTTTCCCCCACTGCACATGTTTTCAAATAGGATAATGTTACAGAGATCAAATCTTAAACTAAATTTGTAAACCAAATAATGTATTACCAATAGGAAATGAGCATCGACACTTAAGTAATAATTCAATCCTCAACATCTACCTCATATTGTTTACAAAATTTGATTTAGAAATTTAGTTTCCCTAGTATTATCCTTTCAAATACAATAACCTCGTTTGATGCTTGGGATTGGATTGGAGATGGAGGAAGTATATACAAATTATGTTGGAGGAAAATTGAAGAAATTTTGTCCAACTTAAAAAGTAAAAGATGAAATACCCATGAAGTAACTTCTCCATTCCGATCCCAAAATTGTTGGTTTAGAAGAGATAAATTTCTGTCATGTCTAATACCTTGCAATCGACTAAAGTTAAAAAATCATTTGCTTCTATCCGCACACATAACTTAAATTATATAAGTTATCCAATCAAAACTTAAGATAACAACTTAGATAACACAAGTACATTGTCACTGTATCATCCCATGACAATGATATGACACAGAATCATCCCGATTCAAAAGAATTTTCATATCATTCCATGTTGCATAGAGGGGTCTACGTTTTGCAGGTAAATGTTACTCTACATCATTATCATGATTAATGGGTATCCAAACCAATCTTTTCCAAGATCTTCGCCTTGATATATACAACACACATAAGGCATGGTACGTACGATGTATGGCTCATCGTCATTTAGCCCAAAACATTTGCCAATGTAATTTAGTTTTTGGATAAAAAAGTCTTCTCCCAAAAAAGCGACTTGACAAGAATAAGACCAGGTCAGTCGGATACTGTGGGTAGCCTCCTTCTGCTGCTGTGTTGATATGATGTCTCTCATGTGCAAAAGATTTGGTGTAGTGCATGTCATACCAAAAATGTCCCTCAGTTTCCAGCTTCGGCGCATTTGGCGATAAAATACTTGACACTAGGGGTGGGCGCGGTGCGGTTTGGTGCGGTTTCGAGTGAAACCACAATCGAAATCGAAACTTTTGCGGTGCGGTGCGGTGCGGTTTTGAAGCCAAAACCGAAATGAAACCAAACCGTTTGGTTCGGTTCGGTGCGGTTTCAAACGGTTTCGGTTTGGTTTTTGAGAAAAAAATGTACAATTTAAAATATACACATATTTATGCATAAGATGGTCTTATTTTCCTTGTATATTAATTAATGAATATGCACCAAAATTGCACCAAAAACAGCAACAACACCAAAAACTGCACCAAACCTGCAGCAAAAAACTGCAGCAAAACAACACCAAGAACTGTACCAAACCTGCAGCAAAAAACTGCACTGAAACTGCAGCAAAAAACTGCACAAAACTGCACAAAAAACAGCAGCTAAACAGCACCAAAACTGCACAAAAAACAGCAGCTAAACTGCAGCAAAAATTACACCACAACTGCATTACTTCGCATAGGATGCACCAACGTGCAAATTAATGAAGTTCATCGTCTATTTGGCGACTACAAACCACACAACATTATGTACTTTAGTTGGTACATCAGTGTTTCAAAATCAATTTATATGGCTCTGGAATGGGATTAACTGGAACAAAGCAAGGGTCTTCATAGTCTTCCCAGAGGTTATCATAGACAGAAAAGCAAGGAATCTGATAATGCACACATAATGATGTCACAAGCCCTTATAGTGGAGGTGAGGGACTTTTGTTATATGTATGCATAGTCTTCCCAGAGATTATCGATTATATGTATGCATCCTTGTGTAATTTGTGTCTCTGCGTGTATTTATGTAATTGTATATGCATACATAATATTTAGTTAACTTTGGATAAGGTCTGCGAACAGTCCAAGCCTTTAATCTTAGCAATGTATGGTCACATGTTTACTGTATCTACTATCTACAGGTTTTAAGAAGTTTGAAGGACACGTTCCTGGCCATTTCAGCATGATCAAGCAGGGATTTTGTTCTCGAGGGCAGCACGAAGACAGGTACTTTGTCCGAAATGAATGTAGTTTCTACTTAAAACTAATCTAAGTTAAATGCATATATGTGAGGATCCTTTCTGTTTTTCCAGTGGCTTTCAGCTTGCATCTGTTAAGGCTGCTCAACATAGACTAGATCATCAATAGATTGGAAGGCCGGAATATTGGATGGTTGGAATAGTCAACCGGCAAAATGTATGACAGCGGAGCTATTAAGGTGCTATTGTCTGCTTGTGATACTTATAACTTTGAAGTGCTGTAGCGGCAAGTTCAAGTTCACTCTTTCTGTAAATTGGGGAGATCTAACGTGCTATTTCTATTTTGAGTGACTAACAAATTGTTACTTTATTTGTGGTTGAATAATAATTGATTATTATTATCTGGATGATGCAGGGTTGTCCATCATGGAGACAACCATTTGATTCATTAACTGTTCTAGAGGAAGATGCTGTGGAGAAATTGATGATACGGCGTAGCTTACCAGATTCAGTGTGAAATGCACATTTTCCCCTTTAATCTAACAACATATATGAAATTGAAGACAGAGGATGAGAAATTTTTACCTCTGCGTGTGTCGACTCCAAGATTGGAGGCAAGGCAGAGATGAAAGCAAGCCGCAGAAGCAGAAGCAAGCCGCAGAAGCAGAAGCAGTCGCAGAAGCAGAAGCAGTCGCTCGTAGGCAGTCGCTCGCAGTCAGGTGACCAGGTTGCTCGCAAAGGCAGTCGCTCGCAGGCAGTCGCTCGCACGCAGTCAGGTGACCAGGTCGCTCGCAAAGGCCAGATGCGGAGATGCAAGGAGGCGCAAACCCAGAACCGCAAACCAAATGTATAAGTATAACCTAAACCTAGTTGAATGAACTAAATAAAAATAAAAAAGTGCGGTTTCGGTTTCGGTTTCGGTGCGGTTTTGAAAACCCAAAACCGAAACCAAACCGTTTTGTGTGCCGCGGTTCGGTTTTGAAACCGAAACCGTTTCAAAACCGCAAAACCAAACCGTTTGGTGCGGTTTGATTCGACTCGTGTTTCGGTTCCAAGTGCCCACCCCTACTTGACACTAATGGACGTGACAAAAGTTTTATCCGAGTAGGCTCGTGCACATAGTTCAAAAGAAATTATATATGAAAAGTTAAGAAGTGTCGTTTGAATTTTGTCGGACGCTCTGAAGGGATGAAAAATTAAGGTGCGTTTGTTGTATCGGACTATCTTGAACTGGACTAGCTTCAGGAACTAAGCTGGACTGGCTTAGACTAGACTAAACTGGACTGACTTAGTGAATCGTTTGATGCAGTGTCGGACTAGTAATCAGGATAACTATTAAATTTAGATACTATATTATTTAATCTCTATTTATTAATATTTTATTATTAATCTATCATTTTACTTGTTTCTAGAAACAATCTAATGGCCAGTATTTTTTTTCCAAGCATATCATTGACCCATTCCTCTTTCCTCTAGTACTCTCTCCCTCCCCTCTCCCTCTTTTTATCTGGTTCACCATTTTTCTAGAGTTCTCTTCCACTCTCCGTATACATCTCTCTATATTCCTCCGCCCATCTCGCTCCCATCCCCTCTTTTCCACCATCCACTATCTCCCTAACCTCTCCCTTTTTTCCTTATGCAGAGGATTCATCAGAGCTCACCACCCAACGCCTCCTCTGATTTTCTGGTGATTTTGCGTTTTTTGTTTTGAATTTGTTTGGAAGATTCGTCTGCATGTGCTTTTGGGGGAATTTTAGATGTTGGATTTTGAGGGTTTTGTTTTGAATTTGTTCTGGAGATTCGTGTGCATGTGGTTTTGGGGGAATTTTAGATGTTGGATTTTGAGATTTAGGCAGTGGGTGGGGGGTGGGTTTCAGATCTGCATAGGGGTAAGCGAGCAGGAGCTGTAGACGACAAAGGTGTGCAAACGATGTTGGAGACGGGATTAGCAATCCAGTGGTTTTTGGGGGGTCTCACTAGGACGACTTAGCGAAGCTCTTAGTCGGAACGAGTTTGACTTAATCCCATTTAAGTTTAGTCCAGCTTGCACCAAACACGGGATTAGTAGTCTTAGCAAAGTAGTCCAATCCAATGAACTTTAACAAGGACAAATAAACACGCCCTAATAAGTGTAGAGCTCTAAATTACTTTGCAAAAAAAAAAATGTAAATGTCGAAGTGAATGTTGGAAGATACATAGCCTTGAATCACTTGCAATAAAATATAATTAAAATGAAACTGGTTTTTTAACTTGAATACACACTATCATATGAGTACACAACTTATATTTATACATCTTAATTGAATTGTTCGAGAATTCAATGACTTGGACTCACTTCTCAGCCACATGATTTCGACTTCTTTTAAAATTTACAATATTATTCTAACACTACGATACCTTGGAGAAATTAGTAGATTTTTCTAGTTAGCATAATTAATCTTCACATAACTAATCCCCTTTGTCTCTTGCTTTTGCTTTTCTTGCTGCGGATGAACCAGCAACCAGTTAAGATATTGCTACCGGAAGACCTGCATGTAACAGACCTGCATGAAAACGAATCCTAAGTCGTATTTTGTTGATCAGATTGAATGAATAAAACACTGAACTCCGAGTTGTGCACAACCTCCGCTTATTTTTTACTTTCAGATCGTATAAAGTAGGGGAAATCAACAGACAAAAACAAACATGGTGTGCAAATGGACAATAAAATGTAATGATGGAAGTTCATAAAAAAAATAATTAGATACCTTGTTGTGCTGCTGTTGCTGCTACTACTAGTACTCCCGCTACTGCAACTTGCGCCACTCTTTTTATTTAGGAAAAACTTACGGATCTTAGACCAATCATTGTGGTTCTCAGGTCCCCCAGCTGACGGCCTTGGGGAAACTTTCGAGCGATTCTCAGGTGCCTTTTCTTTCTTCTTTGAACCTAGAAAAGTTGGAAAGAACACCTTAATCAAGAAAATTTCACTCTCCATGCTTGAAGTCCTTGATATCTGGCGTGTCGTATAGCCTTTCTGCGTTTTTCTCTTTTGCTTCCTGACTTGGGGTTCAATGTGAAAATCAAAACTCGTCTCTTGAACATTGTTTTCTTCTTTAACCCCCTGCGTACTTTGTTGCTCATCGACAAAGTCTTTTAGAGAAATTTCGTAACAGGACTCGGGCATGTCTTGGATCATTTCCATAAGGTCCTTCCTGCTTTGAAGAATTATTTCTTCTCTTGACGGTGTTGGACAAGGAATGCTGTAATGATGGTTGTGTGGAAGCAAAGGAGAAGACTCGTCGTCTTTCATGTTTGATCTCAACGTGTTTGTTTCCCATGTTACCGGTGAGTAACAGCCAAAGTCTTCATATGTATGTGCTTGTTTCCAAAAATCAAAATCGTTTTCTTCTGCGCTATCACGATTGGCGCTGCTATGAACATGGTGGGTTCGATAGAGGTGATTTCTAGGGAAGTTTTGACCCTGATCAAGATGAAACATGGTATGAAGAGGGGGAAGTAGTAGGAGAGCTAGAAGTTGGTTTACAAGTATATCATATCATGGGAAGAGTTGGACATTGTCATTTTCTTCGTAGGGTGTCGTATATAGGAAGCACTCAAGTCATTGCCGTCTTAGATGGGGGAGTCAAGTGAATAATCTAATTATTCCCCAAATTTTCCACACTTGTCTTTCTCTAAGTTTTTGAATTCTTCCATAGAGAAACTTGACTATAACTTCGAAAGTCCCTATTTTTCGCTTTGTCACGGGATTACGACGAAAAGCATTTTTCTTTGTCCGTGACAAAATAATAATAATTTTATTATGATTTTAAGTGATGCTATTATATGTGGTTTTATTATTCTAAGTTGGGTATGCTAGGAAGATAAAGTTTGTAGATAAAATTGTGTAAACTAAATGACATACAAGTTAATGATATGATTATTATTTAAACGTTGATAAACGTGCTCATTCTTACGTTTAAGTAATAAACTAATCATCAACTTCCATGTCCTTTAATTTTCAAAACTTAATCTACAAATTTAGTTTTCCTAACATTACTCCTCTTTAAAATTACACTAAAATGAAATTAAGTTAGCTGGTTGCATGCATCAATCACGGTGATGGAGGGTGATTCATCAAGGCCAAAAAAGCTTCCTTGGAAGGAAGAAATTGAGTATGGACTTCGACTTGTTAATGGCCAGTCGCAGAGTCAAAGTTCCATGGTTTGAAGTTTTCAACATTTTGATAGGATTGCGACCGGTATAGTTCAGAAGGGATATACATTTTTAATGTGCCGGAAACACGGTCTGGTACAAGAAGCGTTATAATACAATTGGTTAGAGAATTGATAAAAAAAAAAAATTTCCAACTAGCATATTATGACAATGTGTACCGGGCCGTTGTTTTTGGCAAACTGAAAAATTTATTCAAGTGTTGGTAATACTCAACACCCTACTTATTATTATTGTATAACTTTAACTTTTAAAATTTGTGTCTATCCACAAATTTTGAAATTCAAACTCATCTAACTGTGATGAGTAAGATGATAAACATTATCATCACTTGAGGGTGGTGAATAAAAATATTTTCTATTCATTGAGCCATGCGCAAAATGTAGTAATGAGATGGACTACATTTGGTGTCAGTTAATGTTATGTTTCTCAATGAATATTTGTTCTATTGGTAACCAATTTTCACTTAGATTGTTAATAATTAAAAGATTACTAGATAAAATTTAGTCACATAATGTATGGTCTACATAAAAATGCATTGAGAAGTCACAATTACGATGACCTCGTTTCTTATAAGTTGCTCTTCATGTATCCTACTACTGTAGTAAAATTTGGTGCCCTCCCGAAAGTTGACGACTCGAACCAAATGGTCGGTTATTTAGTGTATTTGGTATCGAAATTGTGATTACATGACATATGGAGTTCCTTCTAAGGAAAAATTTTCAGTGTGTCAGAAACAAGATCCAGTACACCAAGTGTCATATATAATTGGTTGGATTTTTTTTTATCAAGTTTCTTACAAATTGTATTATTATACTTGATATACTAGATTGTGTTCTCGACATAATAAAAATTTTCTCCACTACTTAAGAGTAGTGAGCAAAAATGAACCCTTTTGAATATGCACATACTGCATTTATATCTCATTTGGAACAAGTTTTGTTGAATGCTTCAAAAGTCAAATGATAGGGTTGATGTTTAGTCTTAATTAGATACAGGTATACTTCAAAATCTAGGGTGTACGCGTGTTGACATTAATAATGGTTGAAATAACACATCCCCAGTTTGAAATTTCTCTTATCTCCTTAAGAAATTTATTAGAGCAGCGAGTTATCTATGTATTTCTTGGTTAACAAGGGGGCTTAAGCTACCTAGTATTCTTTTTCACTTATAAATAAGAGATCTTAGGTTCTATTTTCGCGAAAGGCGAATTTGAACCACATTATTATTAATTCATTGTAAGGCTTAGCCTACTTTCCAATCCTCAAAGTGTAGATAAAATCATTTGCTCAAAAAAAAAAAAAAAAAATAAACAGAGGGGGTTGAGGCTCGAAAAAGAAAATACATTAGGATGTCATGAGGCCAAGCTCCTGCTGTATCAGCAACTAGAAGACCCGACGAGTTGAAGGAACTTACTCAGAAAATATTGAACTCAAATAGCATGATAAACCTATATGATCCAATTCATCGGCAACAAAATTTGAACAAGTTTATAACTCATTTGGTTATATTAACATTCTTCCTTGCACTCGATGTGTCAAGTACGACTACCTCTCTTTCAATATTGCTTGTATAAATACAAATTACTCAAATTTTATGATCTCAATGGTCTAGAGTGCTTCCATACAAAAGTAATTGTACAACTCAAAATAAATCTATAATTCCTTAGTGAAAGAAAAAGTATATTTTTCATAAGCAAACATAGGGTTTTTTTTTTGTTTTCTTTTGAAAATGAGGCTAGCTGATGGCTTCGCTATAGTAGTTTACTATTTCAAAGGTCGGGAAGACTTACAGAGGTAATTCAACCACTCCTGATGGCTGATTTTTCTAAGAACAAAAAAACACACATAGACTTGTACCAAAAAAAGAAGATCATGGTTATTGATCTTCCTGCAAAACTTGGAATGTTCTGCCATGTCAAAGGCCGACCACCCATATGGCCCATACCACCTGGAAAACTGCGCCGCCGCCAGAGCCCACAAAACAGAAAGGGCCAGGTCAACCTGTTATTTGAGGAAAATAGGAAGGGTAATACAGTCCACTCGGCCGTCGGCCCGACCGAAATTCAAATTGAAATCGAACAACTCGTCACCGTCCGATCTTACATTCTCTGAACTTTGAAGTGGAGCCGTAGATATAATTAGAGAGAGAGAGCGCCCCTCGAAATTTCAAATCTCACTCTCATCCCGCTCTCCTCCCATTTGAGACCAGGAGAGAGAGAGAGAGAGAGAGAGAGAGAGAGAGAGAGAGAGAGAGAGAGAGAGAGGGGAGAGAGAAGTATTTAGGGATCCCGATCTACTACAAGAGATCCCATCATAGGTGCGTGCGAGTCTCCGTCCCCTTCTCGCCACCGCATCAGAATGTCCGGCCGCCACGAGAAAGAGAAGGGCGTCAACGTCCAGGTCCTTCTCCGTTGCAGGTATTTACCATTTCCCGCACTCCATTTCTCTCTAGGGTTAGGGTTTTTGAAAATTGTTACTGAGTTATGCGGTAACATTTTGAATTTTTGAAATCCCTAATTGCTTAACGATTTTGTTAATTTGTTAATTAAATTGTTGATTTAGGCCGTTTAGTGAGGATGAGTTGAGGAGCAATGCCCCGCAGGTTATTACTTGCAATGAGTACCAGAGAGAAGTTGCAGTCTCTCAGAACATTGCCGGCAAGCACATTGATAGGGTCTTCACTTTCGATAAGGTCTTTTTCTTCAACCCAAGTATTGTTTTTTTTTTTTAATCTTAATTCTTTTCGGGTTTTCGAAATTTTGAAATTGGTATGATATGCTCAATTTTTCATTTTTGTGGCTTTTACTGGTAGGTTTTTGGTCCTAATGCTGAGCAAAGAGATCTTTATGAGCAAGCTGTGATTCCAATAGTGCATGAAGTTTTGGAAGGCTTCAACTGTACCATTTTTGCGTATGGGCAAACGGGTACAGGTAAGACATACACAATGGAGGGTGAATGCAAAAGGGCAAAGGTATGGTGTTTCGGTCTTGTAATCAGTTTTGTGGTGATGTTGTCCAGGTGTTTGTCATTTAAATCTGTTGATGTCATGGGATATTTAAACAGACTGGACCTAATGGAGAATTGCCTCCCGGGGCTGGAGTTATTCCAAGGGCTGTCCAGCAGATTTTCGATACCCTTGAGGGCCAGAATGCAGAGTACAGTGTGAAAGTCACTTTCTTAGAGCTTTACAACGAAGAGATTACTGATCTTCTTGCTCCAGAGGAACTTTCTAGAGCTTCTTTGGAAGATAAGCAGAAAAAGCAGTTGCCTCTAATGGAGGATGGGAAAGGTGGAGTTCTTGTAAGAGGTTTGGAGGAGGAAATCGTGACGAGCGCGAATGAGATTTTCACTCTACTCGAAAGAGGGTCTTCTAAACGTCGTACTGCTGAAACTTTATTGAACAAGCAGTCAAGGTAATGCAAATACTTCTTTGACTGGCTTCATGTTCAGTGACAACTTTTATTCATGGTATTTTACTGTTTCAATTACAGTCGGTCACATTCTCTCTTTTCCATCACCATACACATTAAGGAAGCAACCCCAGAAGGTGAAGAATTGATCAAATGTGGAAAGTTGAATCTGGTTGATTTGGCCGGCTCAGAAAATATCTCCCGTTCGGGTGCACGAGAGGTGCAATTTAGTTTGATTGTTCAAGTTTGTTTGTAGTGATAGGAATTGCTCTTTTAAATTAATTTTGTGCTCTCACAATTATTAGGGTCGCGCAAGGGAAGCCGGAGAAATCAACAAAAGTTTACTGACTTTAGGGCGAGTAATCAATGCCCTGGTGGAACATCTTGGGCATATCCCATACAGGTTTGCTTAGTGCTTGTTTGCTGTTATCTCTATGCCTATACTCCTTGTTCTTCCCAATTCTAATAATAGAGTCATATTTGAAATCAGGGATAGTAAGCTAACACGGTTACTTCGGGATTCGCTTGGAGGAAGAACAAAGACCTGCATCATAGCTACAGTTTCGCCTGCTGTGCACTGTCTTGAGGAAACTTTGAGTACACTGGATTATGCACACAGGGCGAAAAATATAAAAAATAAGCCTGAGGTTTGTTATTCTATATTGGTACCAATAGTATCTTTATCTGATATGTTTCTACAATATGTTTTTTTTCCCATCAAATCTACAACAATGGCCTAAGGGAAGTTTGTTGTTGGCTCATAGAAGACTATAGGTTCTTTTGTTTTTGGAAGAAATACAATAATGAACTCGTCTTCTCAGTAAATTTGTACATTGTTACAAATAGGAGTGATTACTGTTGGTTTGACAAGTAATCTGCATTTCTTCTTTGAAGACTACAGTTTTGACGGGCCTAAAGCCTCACATTTTATGTTTGTAATTTTCATTATTTTGTGTTTAATTGCACAATGGTATTGTCGTATGTGATCTGTGTTAGTGTTGAAACCTTTTGTATTTTATAATGTTTCATAAAATGATGATGAACGTTTTTTCAATCAATTGTAGGTGAATCAAAAAATGATGAAATCAACTCTTATCAAGGATCTCTATGGTGAAATTGAACGGCTTAAGGCAGGTTAGACACTTCGCATTCCAGTTAAGTAAAGTTGTCTCTCTAACCTCATTTGGTGTTTGTTTCTAATATTGTGATTTGGTTCAGAGGTGTATGCCGCACGTGAGAAGAATGGTGTTTATATCCCAAAGGAGCGATACTATCAGGAAGAAAGTGAAAGGAAGGTATAATATTTTCCTTATTTTCCTTTAGCTTCTTAGTGATATTATTTGTGTGTCTGTATCTGTTTGATAGCTTTTTTGAGGTATTGTTGTACTTCTGATTCCATTTCTATGAATACAATGTGTTTGCTGATTTGTTGAAGGCTGTGCTTCATTACCTTTTGGCCTTGAGAAACTTAACTTTTCTTTTCTCCATTCTTTGTTTGTGGTGGGCAGCTATTACGGCTTTACAAAAACACCTCTTTCTACATATTTTAAAAGACATTCCCATTGTACCTTTCTTGATTAGCTGATTATGGGTCTTGTTAATTTTGTTTTGCTATATACTTATGCCTGTTTTTCTTGTGTGTAGTCCATGGCTGACCAGATTGAGAGCATGGGGGTTATGCTAGAAAACCATCAGAAGGTTTGTTCATATGATATTTTTTTTATATACAAGTCGTTGACTCATTTCTGGTTTTATACGATATCTAACTTCAGTTTTTATGTGGAATGTTACAAACAGCAATTTGAGGAGTTGCAGAATAAATATAATCTCCAGGTTCGACAGTGTTATGATTTGAGTGCCAAGCTTGACTCAACTGAGGTGAGCTATCTTCATACACTCATTTTTATGGCATTTCGGGTATGGACATTTTTTGCTAAAAAAAACTCATTCTAAACCAATGTTGCAGAAAACTTTGAACCATACCACTAAGTTACTTTCTACCACTGAGGAGGAATTGATGAAATGCCGATATGCTTTGAAGGAGAGGGATTTTATCATTTCTGAGCAGAAGAAAGCTGGTCTGTCTGAATCCTTGACTTCTGGAACTTGGTTGTTTTCTGCATATGTGTTTGTTTTGATATTGTTGAATGCATGGCAGAAAATGCTCTGGCTGAGGAAGCATGCAATTTGCAATCTGACTTGGAGAAAGCACTTCATGATAATGCATCCTTGTTTCAAAAAATTGGTTTGTAGCCTTCAACAACCAATTAACTTTGACATTGTTTTAATTGTCAAACAACTTTACTAAGTTTTTTATTCATGATGTGATACTATGCAGGTAGAGAGGACAAGCTGAGTGCTGATAATAGGTTGGTAGTGAATAATTACCAGGACGATCTTGCCAAACAAGTTGGTTCTCTTTGCAAGATGGTGGCAACATCGATGTCTCATCAGAATGAACACCTTCAGTGTGTTGAGGATCTCTGTCATTATTTTTTAAGTGCAAACGTTAAGGTATCATCTGAAACTTTTCCTCGCTTTTCCCTTTACTGAGGTTCATCTATGTTTGGATCCTTTTTCATTGATGTTATCCTGCTTTTTCGACTTCCTAATTTTAGGCGATTATGGACATGAAGAATAAATTGACATCTTCAAGGGCTTTGTATCTTTCTCATATTGAGGCAGTGCAAAATGTTGTGCGTTTGCACAAGGCGAGCTCTAATGCTGGTCTAGAGGAAATTTCATCTTTCGCTTCTTCTAATTTGCAGTCTGTTGAAGAAGTAGGTAGCAATAATGGAGTTTCCCTGTTGCACTTATCAGTTTTGTACCATGAAGATTTCTGTTGTTGCTAACTGTTTATACCAACTTTATATATTTATTTTCTTGGATTCAGTTTCTAGCTTCAGAGGCTGGTGAAGCAGCTACAATATTTGAGGATCTTCAGAGCAGTCTCTCAACACAGCAGGGAGAAATGACAGCTTTTGCTAAGGAATTGAAACAGGTCTGACATCTACCTTATTACATTCACATTTTGGTGGCTTTGAAAGTTCTATAATTTAATCTATGAAAATTAAGTTTGTAGAGCATCAATTATTTTGCACAGCATGGAGAAAAAGTATCTTTGCTTTTCAACATCTTATTTGGTTTCTTGCCAATTTATTTTATTTTATTTTTTCTGTATAACAGAGATTCACTTCTAGCATTAAGCAAACACAAGACATTTCTGAGTACTCTCAAGGATTCCTACACAAGCTTTTGGAAGAATCAAAGAGGCTTGAAGATCATGTGGGACAGACCAATGATATTACACTAAATAGCATTGCTGAATTTCAGAAGGCTTATGAGGTATACACAATTCCTGCACAGATAAAATCTGCTTTGATATATTTCTTCTACAAAATTTCTGAGATCCCAAGTGGACGTGTGACACAGGAGCAATCAAAATCTGAGGCAGAGAAGCTTATTGCTGATATCTCTAGTTTAGTCTCCACTCACATGAGCCGTCAGAAAGAGATGGTTTGTTTCTGTTATTGATTTATTATAATTTTCTCTAAATTGAGATTTTTGTTCCATCTAATTCTGAAACAAATGACTGTTGAACTGACAGGTGGATGCCAAGCTTGTTGGTTTCAAAGAAAGTGCTATTGCAGACAAGTCTTTCATGGACGGTCATGTTTCCTCCATGGAGGGTATTACCACAGAAGCGAAAAGAAAATGGTGGGAATTTTCAATGCAAGCAGAAAATGATGCTAAGGATGGTGCTGACTATTCTGCTGCTAAGCATTGTCGCATGGAGGTTCTTCTACAAAAAAGGTAAGTTGGTCTATCATGTTTCATGCCGAGGCTTGATCCATATTCTTTTTTTCTTGAATGCTGATGTTTGTTCTGTTATTTTATTTTGTAGTGTAAGTACGGCTGATTCAGCATTGGAGCACTGGAAAAAGACACAGGAGTCTGTGAATGATATGGGAAATAAACATGTTTCAGCTACGGCATCACTTATCAGGTTCATTAGGAATTTTGTTTCTTTTGCCTAAGTTTTGTGTGGGCAACCCCTTTAGTGTTCTTTACAATAATATGTACTGGGGAGATGTTTATAGTTCTTTTAAAACTGTAGATTAATTCTTTAGAAATATCTTGATGCAGGATTGCTTCTGATAGTAACGAGCAGCATGATGTTGAGATCAATTCAGTGAGGGCTGCAGTTGAGCAAGATGTGGCAAAGAATAGTGAGGATGTCCTTCAGCATGTTGATTGTAAGTTTTTTGTTGTCTTATTCTAATATATCTCTACCGGTGATTCTACATATATTCTGAATCTCACTCTAGCAGTGATGAGTTAAAGCAATAAAATTTTTATTGTGCGTATGAAATGTGAGCATGATTTAATTGGTAAGCAAGTATGTGCTGTAGTACACACATCAAACCTTTTCATTTCGAAACTGGTTGGTAGACGGATAACATCCATCTGAATCACTGTTTCAAGCATTTGAATTTGAAAAATGAAATTGGAGTGCTATTATGAAATGTAGGCAAAGGTTAAACATTAGAGATCTGAATATGTGCGGTATAGTGGTTTTGTACCCGTTTCCGCTGGTTTTGGTTGTTTAAGATCCATGCGGATTCCCTAAGCATAAGATTTTATCAAAATGGCCTACAGGTATGCATGAGCAGGAGCAGGAATCTATTTCTAAAATCTTGGAGACTATCAAGGCTCATTCAAATACCCTGGAGACTTTGCGGGAGGACCACTCTGGGAAAGCTGTATCAATTGAGGAGACGGCACGAGATACCTTCCAGAACCATTATTTGGTGAGCTTTTTTCCACACAACTTATTATGGTGCACTCATCAGTCATGACCATCTTCAGAAGCGGACATGCTTTGTGCTTGAACACATTCTCCTACTTTTGTACCGATATCAGTTCACGAATCATGATTTCTGTTTTGATTTGTGTAGGACTATGAACCTAGTGGATCTACACCGGAAAAGTCTGAGCCGGAAGTTCCAAGCAAGGGCACCATTGAGTCACTTCGAGCCATGCCTATGGAAGCTCTTGTTGAGGAGTTTCGGGAAAACCATTCCTACGAGTCATTGAATGTGAAGGAGTTGAAACCATCGCTTATACCTCGCTCTCCGCTTACACAACTGAACTAAAAGTGGCGCGATCATCATCGCTCGATTACCTGCATGAAATGAAGTTTGTATTTGTATCATTATTATACACTTTTTCTTGCTTTTGAGGAATATATGTAGCAGAATGTAGTGGAAGTTGGGGTGTACTGTTTGTTCCTGGTGCAGTCAGTGTACCAATAAATCCAGTCTTTGGATTTAGCAGTGTAGCTCGATATATATAGGGATGTATATTAGAGGCAGAAAAAACCTACATCTGTTTAATTTTTATTCCATCAATGCTGTGTTCAACCACATTTGCCTTTCTTTGCAAGTTTTTTTTTCTTTCCTTTTTCTTTTCGCTTTTACGTTGATTTCGTTATCTCCTTCCACGCCGTCCAGGATTTCACGATCACCGCTGGTGCCACCAATCTCTTCCTCTTCCTCTCTTCTCGAATTCTCTCTTTACCAGTGAATGCAAAATATAGAAATAAAGTTTACAGGATTGTATTTTGCTCCCTAAACCATCGACGGTTAAGAACTCATGAGTAGAAAAGGAATGGTGTTCCAGATGGTAAAATTTTTGATCTGAATATTTTTCGAAAAATTGGAATGCATTGAAAGCTTCCTAATTTCATATTCAAAATTTTGCACTGTTCTCCCGGGTCACAAGCCTATTATCCTGTTAAAGGAATACCTACTGCTACTTGTAAACAATTTACCAAAAAGAATAATTTATATTTAATTAAAGTTTTAGCTTCTAAAATCATATATTGGCAATAAAGATCGTTCATATATCTTCGATCAAATATTCTCGAATTAATATGTTAAGGATATAGAGAAGAGATTTAGCCTAATGTTAGAGTGCCTAAGGTGATAGTTTGGATTGGAAGTCAGTGTAGACATCGAAATTTCGGTAGACACATGGTTTTTGCCACGTATGCCCTGACATGTCGAAACTTTATTTGTGTTGGTGAATATTTATTTTACCGAAATTTCGATGTCTACAGTCAGATATATTGAATCTTTTTTAAGACAATATAGGATTTCATAATTACTTCATCAATGTCAAAAGAGGACAGGCATGTGAAGAGGGAATAAATCTTAGCTGGGTAAACCACTTGAAAGAAATGCCAGATGAGGAAAAATAGACGATGGCCTCGAAGCTTTTCAGTACGATTGACCAGGAACCTGCCAACTATAGCGTGCAATCCAATTTGCGACACTCTCAACACTTTGTAATTTTTTTTTGAAGAACTACTCTCAACATTTTTGAGTCCAATCCACATCGATAACCCTGTTAATTATCAAGACAGAAATCTGACATAGCGCTACCGGATGTGTTGCACTAGAAATTGAAAATTGTCAAAACCGAAACTGCACGAAAATGACTGAAATCAAAAGTATAATTTTAGATAACCTTTGCATTGTTTTTCTTAAAAAAGTCGTTACTATGTCTATTAATGCAGTTAGAAGTGTCTCACGTTATTATGCTCACCATCAACCACCTTTGCGTGAAACAAGTGTCTCACATTTACTATTAATAGGAGTAGGGTGTGATCATGAATATGCATGAAAGACGGCCTCATACAAGTGTAAGAAAAGTTCTTCTCCTTATTGACCGCCGTGACGAATACCACCTTGTGTCTCGCTGAGCCTAGTTCTATATATAGATAACTCAATCCCTATTTATCCAATAGCTCTTCTCTTATCTTTCTCATTGCACGTTGTAAATATGGATATCTTAAGAAAGTTAGCTCCAGTTTTTTTATTCGTTTCATGTGTTTTTCTGATCACAAACAACAATGGAGTAGAAGGGTCGCATAGGATTTACTCTAGGCTTCAGAATGTTCCTGCCGGTGAGGTGAACCAAGTCCACAGAACTGCCTACCACTTCCAACCTCCAAAGCACTGGATTAACGGTATTTTTCCAAATCATCATGCCTGATTTTCTGATCCAGGGTTCATAAATTGTAAATAGAAGTTTATAGATAGGACTTGTTCATAAGTTTTGTATCAGCTGACAGTTTAATCCCGATCTGCATGAAGGAAGAAGCCATCATTGCCCTAACAGATATTTCATGAATAAATGGCAAGCATGCACGTAATATGTGCCCTCGATATAATTGTATATGATGGCAACATTCTTAATGAACCCGCAGGTTTCTTCTACTTTTTCTTAATGCTATACGAAAATTAGTGAAAAATAATTGAAAAGTAACTGGTTAGTTTTTGGTTTGATATTTACATAGGCACTATTGTGCATGTGAGATTTCTTAATTGCTTGTTACTTCCCCTAATACATCATCATAATCACCATAGCAGTACTAATAATTATTCTATATTATTCCTAAATCTTTTAAAGATCACATTATTTCACTGACTCTTTTGTTTTGTTTCCAATTTCCATGGTGGCCAATAATTGAAAAATTCTCTATCGACAGATCCAAATGGTGAGTACCTTTGGAATAATGTTATTTGTATCACATTTTGACTACATTGCTGACTGCCTCTTTAATAGAGGTGGACTCCACTTGTGTGTATGAAACTCACCTATAAATATTAGAGAGTTGGTGAGCAATGTGGTGAATGGGGTCCAAATAGAAGTGCTTTTTAGTTAATCCCTTAATTACCTGTTAGTTTTAATCTTTTCCGCTTTGACATGCAAATTGAACAGGACCCATGTTCTTCAATGGTTTCTACCACTTATTCTACCAATACAATCCCAAAGGTTCAGTGTGGGGAAACATAGTGTGGGCACACTCAGTCTCTAAAGACCTCATCAACTGGGAAGCCCTACCAAACGCCATATTCCCCTCAAAATCCTTTGACATAAACGGCACGTGGTCTGGCTCCACCACCATTCTCCCCGGCAACAGGCCGATCATCCTCTACACTGGCCTCGACAATGACAAGCGTCAGATCCAGAGCTACGCAGTTCCAGTAAACATTTCCGACCCCTACCTTCGTGAATGGGACAAACCCGATGACAACCCTTTAGTCCTCCCTAGCTCGGACATGAATGCGAGCCAATTTCGTGATCCCACGACTGCATGGTGGCATAACGGTCACTGGAGAATGTTGGTGGGTGGCAAAAGAAAGAAATCAGGGATGGCCTGGTTGTATAGAAGCATTGACTTTAAGCATTGGATCAAGGCCAAGCACCCTCTTCACTCTGCTCCCCTAACCGGTATGTGGGAGTGCCCCGATTTTTTTCCCGTTTCCTTGCACGGCAAGAATGGATTGGACACGTCGAGAGTTGGCAACGATGTGAAGCATGTGTTTAAAGTGAGTCTTGATGAAACTAGGTATGAGTACTACACTGTTGGGCAATATGAGCCTGAGACTGAAGTCTATGAGCCGGATAAAACTTCGGCCGACGGCAGGGAGGGATTGAGATTCGATTATGGGAATTTTTATGCTTCAAAGACTTTTTTTGATTCTTCAAAGAACAGGAGGATCTTGTGGGGTTGGGCTAATGAGTCTGATTCAGCTGATGATGACACGGCTAAGGGATGGGCTGGAATTCAGGTATATCATAATTGCTTATTTGTTCTCTAGGCCTAATATTTCTTTTCTCTCTCACTAGTTTTATAAGGGTCACAATGTTAGGCCACATTACTTACATAATGTTATTGAGACGCACAAAACTGACACATTTATTTATTTACTCTTAAATAAAAATAGCTGACATGCTCACTCTCTAATAAAGTTTTGGAAGAATCACAATGACCACAATATTGGTGACAATAATGTTATTTTAGACACATTTGCTGACACATTCTCTAATAAAAATGAGAATTTTATTGTATACGGGGGTCAACACATATCAGAGAGAGTGCCAATAAATGTGTCCGTTATCTATAAACCAATTGATCCTACATACCTCTGTCAATATGATCTACAATTTAGTCGAAACAAGTCATTGTTTTCTATAATTAACTAGCAATATAATTATATGTAGAACTACATGGAGATCCCTTAATGTTTTTTCTTTCATGGGTGGTATAATTTCGTAGGCAATTCCAAGGACTTTGTGGCTGGACCCGAGTGGGAAACAAGTGCTGCAATGGCCAGTTGAAGAATTAGAAACTCTGAGGGGACAAAAGGTCGACTTGAACGACATAAAAAATATGAAGCAGGGAAAACTTGTTCAAGTTAAAGGAATAACTGCTGCTCAGGCCGATGTTGATGTTACATTCACATTAGAGAGCTTGGACAAAGCCGAGGAGTTTGATCCTAATTGGGAGAAGCTCGATGCAGAATCAGTTTGTGCCCTAAAGCGTTCGAACGTTCCAGGTGGGGTTGGTCCGTTTGGGCTTGCGACGTTGGCTTCACAAAACCTAGAGGAGTTTACTCCGGTGTTCTTTAGGGTTTTCAAAACTAATGAGAATAAGCATAAGGTTCTCATGTGCTCTGATGCAAAAAGGTTTGTCTTTTGCCCTAGTCCTATCTACCTTTCTTATTAATAAACTACTATTCTAACTTTGATAGGATTATGTTTACTATATATATTTAACCCTTAAAATATTTGGATGGGGCAGTTCTACTTTGAGGCCGTTTGACATCAAACAGTATAGACCATCATTTGCTGGCTATGTAGATGTAGATTTAGCTGCTGAGAAGAAGATTTCTCTAAGAAGTTTGGTACGCATAACTTGAACTCTTCCCTTGTCAGTTTAAATACTACTCATTTTCTATAAGTCATTAATTAATTAAGAACTCAAAACTAATGTCATTTTTTTCGCGATTTCTAATTGCAGATTGATCATTCAGTTGTTGAAAGTTTTGCAGCTGGTGGAAAAACATGCATCTTATCCAGGGTTTATCCCACCTTAGCTATTAAGGATGATGCTCAATTGTTTGTGTTCAACAATGGGACTGAGCCTGTTACTGTACAAACCCTCGCCGCATGGAGTATGAATGCTCCTAAGCAAATGAACCAAAACTTGGAGTTCTGATGTAAATATTAAGGGAAATGTATGCTTGGTTAAGCAGTCAGGCTCTTATAATAATATAGGGAGAAAAACGGGGTATCACACACTCATTAGCCAAATATAGGCTTTAGCCAATAAGCTTGGCTTTCCTCACCATACATTGTGATATTTGAATCCCAATTTTGATTGAATAAATACTGTTTAAATATGGAGTCAATGAATAAATGTGTTAAATTAGATGCATTAAGTCTTTGAGTTAATGTAAGGGATAAGTAAGTTTTCATGCCTCCGCCCTCTCTAAAGTTATGTGTTAAATTAGATGCATTAAGTCTTTGAGTTAATGTAAGGGATAAGTAAGTTTTCATGCCTCCGCCCTCTCTAA